CCAGACGCAGTCAACACAGGGGATCAACTACGGAGAGCTACAAGGAACCCTCTTGCCTCCACCGGCTCTGGGGCTCCACGACTACCCGACTGGACGAGATTTGACATCCAACACAGTCTACAGAGTCTCCGTAGTCACGAACCCCATGTTGTGAAAAAGGAATTCCGAAAACTGCATCTGCGATGGCATCATGCGAAGGAGCCAAAGATGAGGCTAATCCTCGAAAAGGTGGGGCTTGATAACGTTCGACTGAACATGATCAAGGAAATCTGCGATACCTGTCGGGAATGTAGAGCATGGGAACGTCCAGGAAACTCAACATTACCATCGGTAAGCCTCCCTGGTAACTGGCTCGATGAAGGGGAAATGGACCTCATGTTTTACAAGAAACGGACCATATTTCATATTATGGACCGTTGTATTCGCCTGGCAGCAGGCCTAGAGATTTCCGACAGAGAACGTGACACTATCATCGACGCCTACCACTATTGCTGGATTGCCTATCACGGACCCTTCAAAGTTTTATACTCAGACGGAGAAGGCGCCCTGAATAACGATGCCGCTAAAACCATGATGGCCAATAAGGGCACGGAACTTCGTATCCGTGCTCCTGGCCAACACGCGACTTCAATTGAGTCACGAAACGGCATTCTCAGAGGCGTCCTCCACATGATTGAGGAAGAATCGAATAGACACAACATCCCTGTTGTATTCACTAGAGTATTGGCGGAAGGCATCTTCGTTACTAATGCGTTTACGTTTTATAACGGAGTATCGCCATATCAGGCACACACAGGACGTCAGCCCTCCTTCCTTCCTGATCTCGATACCCTTGACTTTCCCAAGGGACCCGAGACTTCAGGACACGAACGAGAACGTCGTGTAAGGGAAGTCAGCCTCGAAGCCATAACTCAGGCTACTGCTGTAGCCAAGACAAATCGGGCTCTTAGGGCTAAGACGACTCCTGATGGTGCTCGCCTCTACTCATCAGGGGATTTGGTCGACTACCACCGACCTACTGCCACCAAGGACGACCATGGAGGCTGGAACGGCCCATTCCCGGTGATCCGAAACGTGCCTGAAAGAGGACATATTGTTGTCAAGGCAGGATCTCGTGAGGTAATTGTGATGTATCCTGATGCTCGTCACACACTATACATCGAATGTCTCCTCACACGGGAACTTGGCATGGATAATATGGCCATGCAAACCGTCCTTGCTTATGTGGCACACCTCAGCGCAGGGAAACCTGCCAAAGTTTTCGGGCATATCCCCGCTTACAAGGGAAACCTTAATCTGTCAGACGACAGCAAGTTTCACCCGCGCGTACACTTAGCACTACAGTATCTCGTACGGAATTACTTCCGAGTAGAACATGTAGTAGCAGTTCGATTGGCTAAGAGTGTGTCAAGGTTACCTGCACTAAAGTACGCCACCGGGTCTACGCTGATCCACTATGACAACGACATCAGCCCGGCGTACGAATGCGTGGGCACTGGCTTAAACATTTCTCAGATCACTGGTAGCACTCACTCCAGACTTATTCAGTGCTTGACTTCACGTGTCCCTTCCTTAGGATTTCACGACGATTTGGCTAAATATCAGCATCCAAGCAACACGTCTGGAGAACACGAATCGCCTGGAATCAGGCCTTCTCCAGACACACCAGACGCTTCATCGCCGAGCGAAGGCCGTCTGTCGACAATCTATGAGGAAAATGAGGAGCACAATATTGAAGCTATGATGCTGGAAGAGTGGTACGACGAGCTACGTGTGGACCTGCATCCTACGACGATTACCGATGATTATCTTTATTGCGCCCCAACAACTATGCTGCCCGACCAGTGTGTTTTGGTTTCAGCATTTGTGGACGAAGATGATATTATATCATCAGATATGCTCGGAGACGAGCCGAAATCATGTGAGTCCTGTCTAGTCTCTCTTTGTTCAAACACAGCCGACGAGAGCTACTCTCTAGACAGTGATGAATACGGTCCTTACGTTGAACTATGTTTTACATCAGAAATGTTTAAAATAGTGTTGGATCAGACTCAACTTGCACAGCTCGACACCGATATGGTCGCAACGATGAGAGTATATGTATCCTCTGCTGCTAGACGTGCTGTGGTTGTCAAAGAAGATGATCTACTAACCAAAGCCGACATAGCAGCACATCCAAAGGAGGTTAGTGAAGCCTTATATACTGAGCTCAAAATCTGGATTGATAATCGATGCTTTGAGATGTACGATTTATCCAAAGCTTCCAACATCATGATATCCAGATATGTATACAAGTGGAAGTCCGTAAAGATGGGTACCGAGAACGTTAAAACCATTCGTCTCAGACTGGTCCTTCGTGGATTTATGGATACTGAGGCTTTTGATGTGGAAACATTCTCGGGAACCGCCCGAAGGCAGTCCCAACGACTCCTGGCAAGTGAAGCGGCATGCCATCCAGAGTGGATCTTAGCATCCATGGATATCGATAAGGCGTTCCTCAAGGGTTTGACCTATGAGGAACTTGCCCATGCCACCGGCGAGGAAACTCGCATGGTTTGCTTTACTCTTCCACCAGGAAGCGCTCAGGTACTTCGTACATTACCCGGCTTCTCATCCTACGACGAAAGTCGACACTGTCTTAGATGCCTCAAACCAGGAACGGGTACTAAGGACGCTCCAAGAGCGTTCTCTCTCACTTCGTACGACCACACGAGCAGGACTTATTACCAGCTACGATCCTGAACTTGTGTCTGACGGCAAAACATGTGATGATGTATGAATATGACAGGTCTAGAGAAAAATATAGACGACTATGTACAACGTGTCGAAAAGGTGTTTGGCAAATGCAAGCTCAACAAGCACACATATACGAACTGCGCCGTTCGCTACACTAAGAATGATCAGGGAGATGTGATCATGGACCAGGACGAGTACATTAAACAACTACGTCCTATCACACACCCAGAACTTACAGGAGCGGCGGCCGACGCCAAAGCCACGAAACTCATTACCGACATGTTCGTCAGCCTGCGAGGAGCCCTCGCCTATGCCCTTCTTACCCAAATCTGGCTCATGGTATATGTGGTCTCTCTTCAGAAAATTCAAGAGCCCACCAATTTGCAAGTCAGACGTTTGAATGCTGTGACGCGAAAGCTGATCAGCAGCCCGAAACGTATCACCTTCCCTCGGATGAAGCCGACGAATGAAGTTGACATCCATAGCGATTCGGGGTATCGGAAGCTTACCGGGGAGGAGGATGACGAGACCAAGGGCTACGGCATACGCGGGGCCAACGTACTACGGCGAGGAAACTCGCCTCAAGGCAAGTCCGTCGTTCACCTCTGTGACGGACTATGCAAATCACACCGATTACAGGTGAGGTCCAGTTATGCTGCGGAGGCACTTGCAGCCGCACATAACCTTGATGAGTGTTACCCTACGCTCATTACTCTCCACGAGCTTAAGGCAGGGGCTTTGACTCCACGACAACTACGAGACATGCGTGAAGTTGGAGGCCTTGCTATCAAAGTCTCTCTTACCATAGACGCTGAGTCCGTCTACAAATCTTTATCAAGCAGGGATCTCAAAATACCTACAGAACGGACTCTGCTTGGACATATCAGCTGGATACGTGAGCTCATGGATATAGGTATAGTACATAATGTGCAATGGTGTGATACTAGGGATATGACCGCAGATGGGCATACAAAGGGAAGCATCGATCGGGAGCTGCTTCTGGAAGTGATGTCAGGCACTCAGTCATTTAAGTATGACGTGAAGCAATTTGTTCCCTTTCGGGGTCCCGAGGACAGAGACAAACCTAAGTCTAATCAATTTTAGTCTGTCCTTGTTGCCCTCGCGGTCCAGTTTGCCAGCACGGGCGCCTACTATAAAGGCGCCCCTTTAGCTGCTCGGAAACGAGCCTTATATTTCACGCCTGGCAACGAGCCGGCTTTGTACAACTCAGGCTCTTTGCCTTAATACACATTTGCTTGGTGAGGTATGGCCTAATTTTGGCTTACCTCTAACTAAGCCGATAGCCCTTCATTGTTTGAAGGGGCTGTCCTGTATTTGCGTGAAATACTTTGCGAGGAAACTCGCCTTACAGTCTGGTGTTTGACCAGACTGTACGCACTGTTTTCTTTTCTTTGCAAACAGTCGTGCGCGCGATCTTTGCGTGCGACTATGCTCTCCGTCTCCTCCCCTCCCGACTTTAAGGGTAGCTCTTTGGGAGATGTTACAGTATCGGGAGCATAGCTCGCGCGCCGCTGCCTTGGGCTCAAGGCACGCGCGCCCTATTTGCCCGGACACCGCGAGTGTTCGCTATGTGCTGGAAAGATCACTACATCGATCTTATCCTATCTTACCCATCCACCCCTCATACTGTACCTTCACAGCAGAGCGATGGATGCAATTTGCCAGGCTATATGCCCTATTTGAGTTACCAGGCTCACTTTCGACTTCCAACCCAAGTCAACACCGTAACGCAGCGTTTCGTCCGATTCGAAGGCACACTCTTCACGTGGTGAATGAGGCAGGCGGCTGGCAACGCCTATCGCTGGGTCGCGTGCTCCCTATTGCTCAGCCAAACACTATGTAGGTGAGCAGGCTAGCTACCGCACACGTGATTGGTAGATGTGTAGCGCATGCCAGTACAGACCGCGCGCACATACACATATGAAACGATTGCATTCAGCACAAGCAAGACAAGAAGGTGGATGCTATTCGCGCAACACGTGCGCAAGCAGCTTGAGACAGTGATCGTGTCATTGTAGATCTCGCTCTCGCCTGGCGGAGCGTACAGGGAGGGGAGTAACGCGTTGAAAACTTTGATGCTGCTTTTGTTGCTGCTGCTGCTGCTGCTGCTGCTGCTGCTGCTGCTATGTAGCCCCGCTCCTGCCAGTGCCCCATGGCGTGAGCGAGGCCGGATGTCTCGAGGGGGGCCACTCGGGGGACGCCTGCCCTGACGTCTGGCAGAGCGATTTGGCGCGGCCGCCGAGGGCTGGGAGTCCAGCGCAGAGCGGGCGCGGCTTCTTCGTGAGGCTCAGGCGCTTCGTGGCCCTCCAGCTCTGCGAGTTGGCGGTGCCTCGTCTTCGGGCTGCCGTGGTGCCGTGCTAACGGGGCCGAAGATCGATATGGGCAGCCATCAGTGCAGGATCGGCAGGGGCAGCCCACGTCCCAGCCGCAGCGAGCGGTGGCCCAAGGGGAACGCCCGCAAAGGCGAGGTATTGGGTTGATTCCATGATAGTTATGCAGGTCGTTTGCATATTCTGCATCGCCTTGGAGGCTATCGTTATGACTTCCTCTTTGTTCCACGCCCATTATTTTTCTCCCCCCTCCCGCCTCCCTCCCCATCTCATTATCACTCCTCTTCTCCCCCTGGCAAGGAAATTTCAACTGCTGGGCAAAACGGTTCCCATGTCACGTATATTACGAGTTCCTGATAATGTAGTTGACAGTTGCGTTTCGCATCGCTCAAGATCGTGGACGCCGCGAGTTGCAGAATCAATTCGTGTATAAAATTTGTGTCAAGCTACGCTACATGACGCGCGGGGTTGAAATCGAAGGCCTGTCGAATCGCGTTATGACTGCATTTGCTGGGCCGCAAGACTGGCGTAGGAAGCGCCAGCAGTGCGTTGAAGAGAGTGGGCCACGGCATACGCGCAGCGCAGTAAATCACGTGCAGGACAAGTATGGTGGTCGAGTGCGCGTTCGAAGGTGTGGAGAACCATAGTCTTGAGATCGAAGACGCCTACGGCGAATCACCGCCGCCCCCTGCCTTTTTGGAAGCGCCTATGTGGCCGAACGTTGAGGCCAGACCTGCCAAGCTATCGGACCACGTGTTCCCCGAATCGGTTTGGAAAGCCTTCGGGGAACACGTGGGCATCTTGAAGGTCATCTTGGCCGTCTTGGAGGCCTCTTGGGCAAGCTTTGGGCGATCTTTGGGGCTTTTTGGGCCGTCTCGGGCCAGCTTCGAGCCAACTTCGGCCATCTTGGTGGGTTCCTGGCACGTCTGAAGCCGTCGGAAGCCGTTTGGGGGGCCTCTATGGGCCGACTTGGGGCCCGCTTGGAATGCTCCAGGGCCGTCTTGGAGGCCATCTTGGGCGTCTGGGAGGCCATCTTGGGCGTGTTGGAGGCCTCTTGGGCCCTCTTGGGGCCCTCTAGGGGCCATCTTGGAGGCCACTTGGGCCATCATGGGGCTCTCTTGGGGGCCTCTTGGGCGATCTTGGGGGCTTCTTGGGCCGTCTTGAGCCGTCGGAGAGCCGAAAAGGCGCAAATGCCAAAATCCTTCAAAAACCAAGGGAAAATCAATGATTTTGGCCTCTTCGGACTCTCCTGGAGGACCTCTTGGAGGCCTCTTGGGCCGTCTGGGAGGCCTCTGGGGGGCCTCTTGGGCCGTCTTGGGCCGTCTTGGACTCTTGGGCCGTTTTGGAGGCCGTCTTGGACCATCTCGGGCGGACTTGGAGGCCATCTTGGGCCATCTTCGCGATTTTTTGAGGATGTCCCGAGCGAAACGGCCGTTTTTGGGACGCATTGTGGGAAAATTGCGGGTGGCCGGCGGGACGGGCCGAAGCCCATTGGGGAGTTCTTTTAGAAAAAGAACCAAAACCAAAACCTGAATCATCCAGCACGCCGTGCACCCCTGCAAGCAGGGGGCGGCGGATATCTACTCGCCTTCGGCCCATCCCGCCACCGCGCCCAGGCTGTAAGTCAAAAGCCTCTCGGGGCCCTCTTGGCACGTTTTGAAGCGCTTGTGGCTCCGAAAAAGTCATGCGGGAAGCTCCAAGGAACCGCGGGAGGCACTCCAGGAAGCTTGGAAAATTTTGAAATTTCGGGCCCGGGCTTCTAAAGATTCAATCCTGAGAACTGACGACTACCGGGGACCTGAAGCATTTCAATTTGTGCCTCGTGGCACGGTGGCGGATTCTGAGTGAACGTACGATACGAGAGAGTCTAGACAAGACAGACCGGCTTGTCCTCTTTTTGTCAGGCTCATGAGTTCTTTCTGCGCGAGGGATGGGTGTCGCACACAGAAGGTTTACCGCGTTACGTGGCCTGGCCTCGCAGAGCCTTTCACGCGGTGCCTCGCGCGAGTCGGTTTCTGGATGGTGCGCCCGTGCCCCCCGCTTGTTGCGGACACGCACCTTGGGTAGCTAATCAATGCGCGTTTGTTGCCATTCCTTCCTCCTCCGCCTCCTCTCCTCCGCCTCTCCGTCCCACTTTGCTTCCTACCTCCCCCTCCTCATCCATGATCCTCCTCCCTCGTCGTCCCTCCCCCTCGCGAAGACTCAGAGACGGGGGTCAGGATCGCTGGGTCCGGGCGAAGACCACCAAGGCCGAGCGCGCTTTTGTGCACGCAGAGGAGGAGGAGGAGGAGGAGGAGGAGGAGGAGGAGGAGGAGGCGCAGCAGCAGCAGGAGAAGAAGAAGCAACACCAGGAGCTGGAAGATGTGAAACACTAGGAGGAGGAGGAGGAGGAGGAGGAGGAGGAGGAGGAGGAGGAGCAGCAGCTCCGTAGCCATTTTGGCTCAAGGCTAAACGTTGTGAAGGACTATAGACGTCCGAGAATCAGCGATTAGCTTTGGTCCCTGTCTCCGCAGGTGGCCCAAGCTGCCTTTCTGAGGCCACCAGGGGCCCTCGCGCTTTCCGCGCCCTGTTCCCAGTCTCTGCCTTTCGGGTGCGGCTACCAGGTAGCCGCGAGGCATGGCTGCGAACGCTCTTCATGATGAAGCTGCGCGACTGGCGGCTGAGATCGACGCCATGGCAACCTTCCCGTCGCAGGTGTCCCAGGTGCCGTCCCCTGCTCGTGCTGGTGTTCCTGCTGGCGGTGGTGGTGGGGTCAAGCGCCCGAGTGAGCTCGGTCACGGAGGTCGTGAACACAATGACTTTGAGATCTGTGGGGAAGGAGATTTGGACCTCAAAGCGTATATCGATCAGATGCGCGACTCCCTCACGCAGGACCTGTCGCAGATGCAGACATCTGTCAACGCCACTTTGGCTTCGACAGCGACTTCGGTCACTAATTCATGCACGGCACTATCGACCCAAGTGGAACGACGGTTGGCACCATTGGAGGCGACGGTGCGCGACCACATATCCCAGATTGCTGAAGTTATGGCGGAGATCAAGCACCTGCGCACAGAGCTTGGCGTGGCCAAGAGTTCGACACCAGCCCCACCTCCGACCTTGGCTGGCTCGAACTTCGATCGCTCGCCTGACCCGACGATCATCGTGCTGCGCTGCCAATCCCTTGTGTCTAAGGAAGGTATCAAAGAGATGGCAAAACACTGGCTGGCGCAAGGTGCAATCAACGATGACCAGTGGGAGATCCACGGCGACCCGTCCAGCAGGAGGTACCTCATCAAGTTCAAAGGGGCGGTCAACTATGCGAGCCGTCTGGTCAACCAATCTCTGGGTCTACTCAAACCTCCCCAGCCTGGCGGGTCGTGGAACAAGTTGTACTGCGTCAACATCGAGAGAGTTCGAGTGGAAGTGCATGCTGGACCAGATAAGTCCCCCTGTCAGATCAAGCGCGAGGTTGCCTGCAAGAGAGCGAAGACAGCCTTCAACGTGCTGTACCCTGATCGGGAGATCTTCATCAACCGCGAGAAGGGCGTCCTCTCGTACCAGTGGAAGGAGCTGCTGGAGATCACGCCGCGCACGGACGACGTCCCGAACCTGCGGTGGAAGCCGCGCAACCTCGCGGACCTCGGCTTCGACCTGGAGTCGCTCCGCACGAAGGTCACTGAGTCCCTGGCAGGGAATGAGGATGACTCTGAGCGGTGCGTTTAGCATTTTGCACGCGCTCTGGAGCGGGCAGAATCGCTCTGCAACGCCTGTGCGCTTGGCGACGTGGAACGCCAATGCCCTGATGCATCACAAGCCGTCTCTCCGCACGAGAAAGCAGAAATTTCTCGCCTCTCTGTTGCAGCCAGGCGCTATAGCTGCGATTCAGGAAGTGCACGGGACCCAACATTATCTAGAAGATTTTAGACATACGTTTAATTCCCCTTTCCAGTTCACCTCTTCCTTCGTTCCTCCTGACTCCCCTGCTTCAGAACTGGAGGTGTCGCTACCTTGTTCCCCGTTTTCCAGAGGTCTGAGGTTCGGCAACAGCTTTTTGGATTCCCCCTCCCCCTCGTCACGTATGACCCCATCGTTCCTGGACGAGTTCTACACACGAAAATCAGGTCTCAAGATGGTCGCTCGTGGATATCCCACTACAACGTACATAATCATGATTTGAACGTGCAGGAGAGACGTGCTGTTTCTCACAAAATACGTGCGGAGTACGCCTTGAGCCAGGAGAGGCCGCATGAGAGGCTCCTCTTCGTCGCGGGCGACTTCAACTTTAGTCATCTTTCTCCTCTGCCTCTCGTTCCTGACCCTGAAGCGGCTCCTCCTGTTCCTCCTGCCCCTGCCCCTCGTGAATGGCGAGACGCTCTCGGACCTTTGGTTGAAATTCAGCTGGAGGCCCCGACCCACTTCCATCCTGGTACCAAAATGCTCACGTTTATCGACAGAATCTTCACCTCGGCCCCTGGTTGGGTCATCACGCAACATGCTTCTGGAGGCCAGGTCCCACAGGATCCCGTAGTGCTGCAAGCGAAGGAGATCTCCGACCATGCCCCCGTTTGCGTCTGTTTACAGGTTCGCGAGAGGACCCCGCCCGACCAGCGCCCGATCCCCCGCGAGATTTTCAAGTCAGTGGAGCACGCCAAGTTTCTTGCGTCTGCTTGGGAGATCGCCCCGCCGCCGGCCGACATGAGCCAACCGCAGATTCATGCTTACCTGAAAATGCTGATGCATGAAGCCGCACGACACGCACGAGATAGCATCATAGTACATAAGCCGAACAGCATCACTGCAAAGTTCCTGATTGTCAGAAGCTGTGCGCGGGCGGTCTTCCAGAACGACTGCGCGCTGGCGGCCAAGCTTTTACGTGCTCACCCACTGGCCAGAGAGCACCTTGATGTACAGCATGAGGTGCACACTGTCGCTCTTCGTTTGCCCCAAGAGTTTTCTGTGTTGTCGAGCGCCCTGCATCATGGAGCCGCAAAGCGTTTTCGAGCTGAAATCCGTCAGCGAGCTGAGCGGGAGTCCGATTGCCACCGGAGGAGCAAACTCAAAAAGCAGCAGCGTAGGTTGACGAAGATGCAGCAACTGTGGCCCCCTTTTGACAAGCGCATGTACCTTGCAGGTGTGCGTCTCGACAACGGCTCGTTAGTGCAAGAGCCCATGCAGATGCTACAACAGCTCGGTGCCCATTGGCGCGAGGTCTTCACGGCGAAGCCCTTTCTGGCTGACCAGGCCGCTAACCTCTTGCAGCGCCACGCCCCGAAGTTGCCGCAGCTAGAACTACCGCCGCCGAGCAGCCACACTCTTCGGAAAATCCTGGACCGCGTTCGCCCCTCGGCCCCTGGCCCTGATAACCTACCATACGAGGCGTGGAAAAATGCCCCCATGGGAATCGAGATCCTGACGGACAGTACGAGGTGGATGCTCGAAGGCTTTTCTCTTGGCGCTGACTTCAACGCCGCCCCTGGGGTGTTCGCGCCGAAGGGCGAAGAGGACGACGACGGCAATGGTGCGATCAGAAGTGCTACGAACACCCGTCCCCTTGGGCTGAAAAACGCCGATAACAAGTTGATCACCGCTGCTTGTTGCTATGCATTGGGCCGCGCCGTGCCCCGGGGTCTCGATGAGATCCAAAAAGGTTTTGTTGCGGGGAGGAATTTCGGTGGCAACATTATCGACCTGGATGTTCGAGCACGCACCTACAGTATGCATGAGCCCACGATGAACCCGGTGTTGGTCGGGTACGACTTCGGCCAGGCCTTCCCGTCCGTCAGCCAGCAGTGGATGTTGATGGTTCTGGCATCGTTGCCGATCCCAAGGGCCTTCAAAGACTTTTCCGAGCTTATCTACGTCGATGTCTCTTGTTGGGGCAAGATAGGGCATATTTACCAGTTTCTATTTCATATCACGAGTGGTATGATCCAGGGATGCCCAGGTTCCGGCCTTCTGTTCGCGTTGTCCATGGACCCCTTCCTCCAGGCCTTCAGGGAGAAAATCGACGCCCCTGACAGTATCACTCGCGCCTGTGCGGACGACGTAGGCATGGCCCTTCGTCGCTTGGCTTATTTGATGCACGCGTACCGAGTTTTCGAGTTGGCCAGGCACATTGCGCACTTGAAGATCAAGAGCTCTAAATGCACGATTGTCCCGATTGGTGGCCCCTTGACGGCCAGACTCAAGTTCTGCATCAAAGCCTGGCCACTCGACAATATACCCGAGTGGAAGGACTTTAAGATAGAGGACACCCTCGGCTATTTAGGGATGCTCCTCGGTCCTGCCGTCACTCCTGAGGACCCTTGGAAGAAGCCGATCGCTAAGTACATCAGCAGAGCCCACTCCATTGGCGCCCTGGGGAGCTCCTCCGAGGTCTCGGCTGGCCTTTATCGGTCGCGTGCGTTATCTGTCCTATCTTACGTTGCTCAATACCTCCCTCCCCCTCGTCGCCTTCAACATGATGAGTATTGCGTCTTCCCTCGGCTCCTGAAGAAACAGTATCGTGCGTGGACTAATGCTGACTGGCATAATCTTGGGCAATGGGGTGGACCCAAGCTTGGCAGTGTACAGGCGATGTGTCACGCGTCCCTCATGCGGGCCGCTATTTGCACCTTTACCCCGTGGGGCGCGGGAGTGGACCTCCTATTCCGCGAGGCTGAGGAACACTTACCCTTGGTCCGTTCGATTGCGCGAACTCCGTGGCCGTCTCACTGGAAGAGCCCCCCGTATGCGTTCAATCTCCTGGAGGCCTCCGAGGGATTCCTGCTGAACCCCAACCTGTCGCAGGCTGGCACCAGAGCTCTACAGGCCCTTAAAGACGTTCAAGCCGCATTTCCCGACAAGCCCCTGAGGTCCCTCAAGCCCCAAAGGATCTTCACTCGTGCCCTTACTGAACAGCTTTATCCTGACAGACTTCAGCATACTTTTCTGCGTCGGTTATTGGGGGCCAGACCCGATTGCAAGAGCATCATCGACTCCGTCGATTGGGAAAAAGTTCGTGAAGTGATCGCCTCCCTCCCCCCCTCTTGGAGATCCACCGCCCTCAAGACTCTCGGGGGCTGTTGGTGCACCAGTAATAGGTTCCAGGGGTCCGCGACATGTGTCCTGGGTTGCCCGAATGGTGCCGACAGTTTTTGGCGCTACTGGAACTGCCCTGTCTTCTTCTGGCTTCTGGAAGCTGGTGTCGGTCACATTATAGAGGGCGAGCCAATTGCCCGTCTCGGCATCTGGCGTCCTGCGAGGGAAGCCTTCAGAGTGCCAGTTT